CCTGGACAACAAGAGTGAAACTCTGTCTCAAATAATAATAATAATAATAATAAATGTCAGAAAATACCAAGTTTTGTCAAGAATGAGGATAATCCAGGAATCTCCTACACTGTGGATGGGTGTTAAAACTGACACAAACATTTTGGAAGACTGGTAGTATCTACTTAAGCTGAACAGTATAAACCTATCTCCCAACAATTTCACTTGTATGAATATACCCCAAAGAAATTTCTATATATATCACCAAAGACAAATTCCAGAACTTATATCCCAGCAGTAGTCATAATAGCCTTGAACTGAAGCTCACTCATATGCTCATTAATGGTAGAATGACTCAATTAATTGTTTGGCATGCACACAATGCAATCTTTACAGCAATGAGATTGAATGCCAACAATACATTCACAAAAATCATATGGAATGAAAATGAGGCAAATATAAAAGGAAGTACAAAACAGGCAAAGTGATTTAATCTCTTAAATTTAAAAATAGACCTAAACTTCTGTCCCAACAATTCTTTTCCTACAAATACACCCAACAGAACTATGCTCCTGGGGACACTGACTTAGAGGGGACACAAGGAACTTCTGGAGGGCAACCATATTCTATTTTTGGATCTAGATGTTGCATACAGAGGCGTATTTTGTTTGTGATATTCAATTGAACTATACACATATAATGTGTATGCTTTTAATTTTTTAAAAAGAGAAAAACAGTTGGAAGAAGTAGCTGGGGAAAAGGTTGTTCCTGTGAATATGTGCTACCTGCTGTTTGTGTCTTTATACAATAAAACTTACGTAGCCACAGGTGCAGATCATGTCCCCAACATGAAACAAAAAGAATAAGAACAATGTTGCATTTCCTGAGTTGTAGTTTTGCCATGAAGTTCAGTAGAACAGCATCCTAAATCTTTTTTTAAATTTCTGATGTTTATTTTTCACTTTGTTTGACAACCATCTATATGAGAAAAAAAATGATCCTTGTCAGCATTACAGGGTCCAGCAAAGGAAAATAGAAAATACAATATATTTGGGAACTTTTATTTTAAGTTCTACCTATCTGAGGTTCATAGAGATTATCAAGATGTCTGGAGACACTCAAGAGGAAGATAATTCCTGTGAACACAACCTGCCACCTCTATGAGGATAGCAAACAAATTCACATTGAAAATCTTAAAGGAAATGCTTCAGCCTAAAAGCTGCCATTGTCTTGGGGACACATTAAAAGAAAGTGACCAAAATGTGGCTATAATCACATGCTTGAGAATTAAATATATGAATCTCAGCCTGCATTCAGGGCAGTTAAATAATTTTTAAGAGATAATGGTAAGAGAGAAAATGCCCAGGATTCTAATTACAGTTTTGAGATATGTGGACTATTCCTATCGTCAGATATCTGGAAGTCATTCTGACAGTTCCCATTGCCTGATATCATCAGAGCTAGAGGATCCCACATGGAGATATGCAGTGTGGGTGGCACCATTCATATCAACAAAATCCCATCTTTTCACTAAGAAATATTGGCTTACGCTTCTATTTTGCTAAGAGTCCCTTTTTGGGACTTAAATGTGTATAGTTCAAATAGTACTTGCATTATATGAATCGCTGCTATAATGCTACACTTATGTTACTTTCTTTGATCTTCCAAACTATATGAGCTGGATACTGGCAATATATTCATTGTCAAGACATGAAGATCATAGAAACAGAGAGGCTAAGTGATCTGTCTACATTCTCATGCTGAGTACAGGCAGAGTAGAGACATGAACCTGGCTTCGCTGGGCACAAAGACAGTGCCCTAAGCACTGTGCCACACTAACAACCTATGTCAGCTGTATTTTCAAATAATCTCAACCTATAATTTTGTTTTTATGACTTGATATTTCATTTTACATTGTTGGAATTTATAGTATAATTTTGGTTGTAACAAGTTTCCACTATGGTATTAAGTTTTATTATCCAGGCCAGCATCAAAGAGGAATGAAGCTTCAGAGATCCTAATAAAATACAGTGTACTAATACAACTAATGCTACATGAAACTGCTTGGTGTCCAAATAGAATTTAAAGAATGCAAGACTGACTCGATATTAGTTTGGCAGTAAAAAGATTCATTTGCTGTTATTGCAAGAAAAAAATATAGTGGCACCTATCAAATAAATTATTGAGCAATATTATTTTGTCACTAAACTATGAAACATGAAACATTAATAAGTGAAAAAATAGTGTAGAAATTACTACTCATTTCAGGCTAAATGCTTGTCTATTTTTAATAGGTATTAAAAACTATTAGGAAAGATGTGAGAATTGTGAAATATATAAAAATACAAGAGACTTCCGTAAATGGAGTCTGGAGAATATAAAATATTGTGCAAGTATGAATTGAAATAACAGAAAAATATGTCAAGAGCTTGGGATTGATGTTAAAGTATTATTAAACCAGAGGAAATAACACAATATACATTTGGTTTTGACATCCACTGTCTAATGTCTATAGTTATAATGTTAGCTTCTCCTTAAAGGTTGTATTCCTAACTCCAAGAAGAAATGCAATCTCACCATAATTATCAGACCACAGATGTTTCCAAAGAAATACAATTACTACATTAAGTAGATCACCAGATTTACATTAAAGTATTTTTTAATTCCAGAAGGAATTTTAGATCATGGTTTCTGCACAGAATTAGCTAATTCCTAGAGTGCTATCCTAATCTTCATTATAAGCATGAAGGCATTATAAACACACCTATAATAATAGTACTAAAAATTTATTCTTCATGTAAGGTAATGTGAACAGCATATTGATTTTATTACTAAATCCCTAAGCACATTTAAAATAGGATATCAGATATCATTGTTGCTTGAATTATTCACTAATGATCATCTTTAGTGAGGGCTTTAAAAATATATATTAAGAAGGCCGGGCGCGGTGGCTCAAGCCTGTAATTCCAGCACTTTGGGAGGCCGAGACGGGTGGATCACGAGGTGAAGAGATCGAGACCATCCTGGTCAACACGGTGAAACCCCGTCTCTACTAAAAATACAAAAAATCAGCTGGGCATGGTGGTGCGTGCCTGTAATCCCAGCTACTCAGGAGGCTGAGGCAGGAGAATTGCCTGAACCCAGGAGGCGGAGGTTGTGGTGAGCCGAGATCGCGCCATTGCACTCCAGCCTGGGTAACATGAGTGAAACTCCATCTCAAAAAAAAAAAAAAAAAAAAAAAAAGCGGGAAATAAAAAAAAAAAAAAAAATATATATATATATATATATATAAAGAGCCATCAGAGGTTGGCATATTTCTCTTTTTATTACCTCAGCTCATAGCAAATAAATTATTCTTCCTGCTTGTCTAGTCTTGCCACTGGATCTGTTTCTACCTCAGAAGAATGTTTTTACCAGGCATGGTCACCTACTCATAATTCCTTTCCTTATAGACTGCATCTGAAATGAAATAGAAAATACTCACTGGACCTCTTCTCTCTGTCAGGATGTGGGCTCAGTGTGAAGATCATGACAGCCAAGACATGCAAGGGGCAACTAGACTCTGAGATAAAGGGTTGTGATTCTGTGACCTCAGCTCCCCCCAGGACTACAATTATCACTTTGCCTGTAGTGGCAATGACAGTGCAGGCTTGGGGAGCTGAGAACAGTTCTGAAAACCTTTTTCCCACTTGCTAATTACCAAAACTAATTACAAGTTTCTTGTAAGTATCTTGTAACAGACTGTTGAAGTGTTTGAGAGAAGATCTAACTTTTGTATGATCCCTAAAGGCACACATGGTCTCATCTGGAAGACGCTTGAAATATTAACCTCCAATCCACGAGGGACTTGCAGAGAGGTTTATGTGTCTCACTGGATTCCAGTCTTATCTGAGTTCCTCTACACCAAAGTCAACTTAATTCCTAATTTGTTTTAAACTTAATTCTTAAATTTCAGATTTCTACACTGCAATATTTTTAAGGATGCAGCAGATAAACAGAATCAGACAAGGTTCCTGAGAAGAATTTCTCTTTTTTAATTATTATTATACTTTAAGCTCTGGGGTACATGTGCAGGTTTGTTACACAGGTATACACATGCCATGGTGGTTGTAGAAATATAGAAATACCATTTGACCTAGCAATCCCATTACTGGGTATATACCCAAAGGATATAATGATTATAAATCATTCTATTATAAAGACACACGCACATGTAATGTTTATTGTGGCACTGTTCACAACGACAAAGACTTGGAACCAACCCAAATGCCCATCAATGATAGACTGGATAAAGAAAATGTGGCATATATCCACCATGAAATACTATGTAGCCATAAAAAAGGCTGAATTCACATCCTTTGCTGGGACATGGATAAATCTGGAAACCATAATTCTCAGCAAACTAACACAGAACAGAAAACCAAACATCACATGTTCTCACTCATAAGTGGGTGGTGAACAACGAGAAGGATTTCTAATGAGGTAAAAGTCAAAGCAAAATATGATGTCAGTAATTGACATTAGAAATCACTGGACTCAATTGTATATTAAATTCCAATTAATGTAGAAACTATGCTACAGAAATAATTTAGGAAAATATACTTTACCAATATTGACCTCCAGCAGTTGATAGAAAGTCTAAAGAGAAAATTATCCCCAGAAGAAAGAGAGATGAGCCGGGCGCGGTGGCTCACGCCTGTAATCCCAGCATTTTGGGAGGCCGAGGCGGGTGGATCACGAGGTCAAGAGATCGAGACCATCCTGGTCAACACAGTGAAACCCCGTCTCTACTAAAACTACAAAAAATTAGCTGGGCATGGTGGCGCGTGCCTGTAATCCCAGCTACTCAGGAAGCTGAGGCAGGAGAATTGCCTGAACCCAGGAGGCGGAGGTTGCGGTG